TCTCCCAAGCAATAGCAATCATTGTATCCTGAGATTTCGACGAGACAACATCATGAATGCCCAAGATGAAGAAGATTTTGTGTTTGCATGTTTGCTGGGTGCATACATTCAGTAAGGCCAGCAGCAGTTGCAGAGCGGGAAGGCCAGAGTGTAGCAGTCAGGAAGAAGGCGGATGAGAAGGCCAAGATCCATGTGGGTGCGCGAATGGTTATCGGAAGAGCGAAAGGCAGCAGCTGGGCTAATACTCAACATTTTAGTTTTACTTTTAGTTTTAGTCCAGTTTTAGGACCGCGCGCGCCGTGTCAGTCCGTAGTAGAACGCAACACGCCGTAGCGCGCCGGGCCGAACCCGTCCTATCCCGTCCGTCCCTTCCCGTCCCACTACGGACCACCTCCAAGTTATGTTACGGCCTATTACGTACTGTCACGTTTTGTTGCGTTCACCCCGTTTTACTACGGCCTACTAGGTTTCTCATCCGCACCGTGACTGCCATGGCAAATATTTTGACAGATTAAAAATCTGGCGCGCAGCATCCACGGCAATCACGGCCTGCCACGTTTTCCCATTCCGTCTCCCCGCGTTGTCTCATCTCCATCCTGTTTTGTCCACGGTGGCCTGAAACGGGGCTGCCGTGGCCGTCGGGAACACAGTGTAAACGCAGCATTACTTAACATTATTTCTGGCTCTGCTGCCATTGTGACGCAGATCGCTTGATATTGCTCCGGCACTCCGTGTGCTATGGCAACATCAATAGTTTATACCTGTGCTCCATAGAACGCACGCGGCGATGCTGAGTAGTTTAATTTAATTTATTGGCACCGGGACTCCCTCGTTAAAGCGAAGTATGAAAAAGGGACAACTTACTAATTCATGAGGTTATATAGGTGCGCTCAATTTGCCTGCGTCGCACGATGTTACACGCACACGCGTGTGCACGCACGCACACACGCACGCACGCAAGCACGCGCACGCACGCACACATATACATGAACACTGATGGATACAAACACACGCATCATACATCCCACATTTTTTTAAATTAAACTATAGTCATCAACGATAGTAAAGGTCTGCAAGGATGAGGTGGTCATTGTAGTCTGAGATCTCTTCTTCTTTAATTATTTTTTTTTCGAATTACGACAGCTATGAATAATGAATCTGTTAGTATTGTGATTTAGTATAGGGTTAGTATGGATACTGATAGTATAGTGATTTTAGGGTTACTAAAATAAAAAAATCCGGTGAAAACTGCGTTTGGGAACGCAGAACTTGTAGCCTATGCCTATTAGAAAGTGTCTAAACAACCGGATCCGGTTTCGGAGTCTTGAAAACTAAACAACCGGCTCTCTTCTCTGATTGGCTAATTTTATCACTTATTTATTTTATTGTATCCCCCGAACGAGTTCGGGGGGATACTATGGATTTGGCTTCGTCGCGCCGCCGCAGAGATTTCCTTGTGAGCACTCTACCGGCGCAAGTTCTTCTCATCTTCAAATTTCATCACACAGGACCAATATATACATATATATATATATATATATATAGGACATGTTATATCGGCCCTGTGTGCCAAATTCCATGACAATCGGGTAAAAACAGCACAAGTTACAAGTTCTACAATATTTCCACAAAAATGTTGTTACCATGGCAACGATGACTCCGCCCACACCCAAAACGATTGGCGTCTTCGCTTTACCACAACGCACCTTTATGCCAAATTTGAAGATGATCCGAGATCGGGTAAAAACTGCAAAAGCTAAAGGAAAATGAAATTATTAAATGAAATTATGGCACCTTTCATGCAAATGCATATTTAGATGCAAAAGCATTGCAATATGGATAAGTAGTTCCAACAATATTTTGTGTGTGTGCGTGTGCATGCGCGTGTGCGTGTGCCTTTATGTGTGTGAGTGGGTAGGTCAAACCCACTTGGACGACGGGTAATATCGTATATATATATACAAATATATGCCTCCATTACACTGACAAGCAGGAACACACACACACACACACACACACACACACACACACACACACACACGCATACATACTGACTGAGGGATGACATTTCCCCGCGCATGTGCGGAAGGTGTGCACAGTACCAAAACCAGGTCACTGCGACCTTCATTTCACCTTTACCTTGACCTTGATCATATTTCCCTTCCGCTCTGTAACTCGGCCCCTAATTCACCTAGCGCTACCAAACCTGGTATACTTACACATCTTGGGGAGAAGGTGTGCAGAGTACCAAAACCAGGTCACTGCGACCTTTATTTCACCTTTACCTTGACCTTGATCATATTTCCCTTCCGCTCTCTAACTCAGCCCCTAATTGACCTAGCGCGACCAAACTTGGTATGCTTACACATCTTGGGGAGAAGGTCTGTCACATACCAAAACCACCACTGTTCTTGACCTTAGTTTGACCTTGACCATCGACTTACATTTCCTCTTCGGCCTCCTAGGGTAACCAAATTCCATATACTTGCACATCTGAGGCAGACCAGTTGTCTAACAAACCTTTGTCTTTGTGACTTATTTAACTTTACCTGCCTTCTACGTCCTACAGAGATATTCCATTCATACTAGATCACAGGGGATACATGTAGTTGGCGACAACTGCTCGTTTCTAGTTTACTTCTGATTTTACATATAACAAAACAATACTTGGCTTGGCTGTTCGGGCAACATAGTTTTATGGTCTGAAAAACTTCAATGTTGCTCAAGACCAGAGTTCGAAGGAAATATTGATGTTCCTCCCCAACCTTACATTATTTCTACTATCTATTATGTTTACAAAACAATGTTAATAAAATGTTTTAACATGTTTTTCCATTGTTATAACTTGTACAGCTGAGGCAGTAGATATCATGAGAGGAACCTGGTTTTTGGATGGAACCTGGCAGCCGCTCGATGCCACCTATGCTGACCTGGTGGAAGCAGAGCATATGAGGAGGTTCTACCAACAGACTGTGCAAGCAGACAGGACAACGCATTGCAAAGGAAAGAAACCTGGTGAGGAATTAAAAAAGCAGCATTAACTCAAAGTAAGTTTTTAGAAGCAACAAATTTTTAAAGAACAATATTACACATTAAAATGTTTGCAACGTAGGTACCTATGCATTGTATTTGCTATATATTTTATGCAACAAATAAAATATTAAATGTGAAGATTAAGGGTATAGCCATGGTTATACTGACAAGCTGCACACACAAACTTGTAAATTTTAATAATGAAAGTTAATTTATTAGTTATAAATTAAATATTAGTTAAACAGATTGTAATATTTAAATTCTGAATTATTACATTTAAATTTTTACATAATAAAGATATCACCATGCTCGATGTTTGCCACAATTAAACAACTAATGTAACATAATTGTGTCATCACTGAAAGAAGCAGACGGAGCAATAGTGCTGCAGCAATATATATTGGTAATGTTTGAGCATTGTTTATAATTATTTCTCATTAATTACCATTGAGCAGTAAAAATTGGCATATAGCATGAATAAAGCATGATTCAACTGAAAATAATTGAGAAAGCTGCAGTGCTGTTGTGCCTCAAGGTCTTTCCTATGCCATACATCATGTATTTCAATATTTTCTGTGCTCATGGATTTATTTTTGTGGTGAATTCTCTATCGTGCTGGGTTTCTGATAGAGGTAGTCACCATGTCTCGTTTCAGTGATACATCACCTTCAGCTTACGGAGTTTCACATAGACTGGAATAGTCCATTTGAGGTGTTCATGTTCAGCGATAACAGGTCATCAAAACTAATGCGATCAGTCACAAGCTCACTGGGATTTTCCAAATGTAGGTTTTCAAGCTACCTGTGAGAAACCAGGCCAAACATGTCCGTTTAAAAAAACTAAAGTAACTGACGCTGAGAGGGTCTATGTCCCCCAGGGTACTGCCGGAACGTACCCTGGGTACGTTCCGGCAGTACCCTGGGGGACATAGACCCTATGAGCGTAACTGACAGTGAAGGTGCGGCTTTTGCATAGCAGAATGTGTCAAAATCTGTGCACAACACTTTACCGGTAAAAACGTTCTGATCATTTATACTTGAGGAGGGCAGCATGCCCTCAGGGATTGGAAATTTACAGCGTGTCTTCTGCAGATGGTGTTCGTTTGCATCGAGGATTTTGTGAGGAGGCTCGACCCGATGACAAGCTACCTGAGATCACACACCTCATGTTCGTTGTACATGGGATCGGCCAGAAAATGGACACAAATCGCATCATCAAGAGTTGTAAAACGTGATTAAATATATGAATGACTAACACCTCATCACCAGATCGGTACATCATGTCACTTAATTAAGGTGGTGATTAAAAACCAGGTGCTTCTTCATAGCTTCCTTTTCTGTATTATTCCTCACTTAGAAGGTAAACGGAAGCTTCCTGGACTGATAAGCTTGTAAGCTTATCATGCATTTAATCTAGTGAATCTGAGCATTATCACAGTTGTACTTTTTCGATGTATATTTTTTAACTTTACTGCTAAAGTCAGTGTGCCATAAAAATGTGATTCAGTGATACCATGATCGGCTTGTGTTCTGCAGGTTTCGACAATCGATCAACAAGCAGATGAATGAGAACTTTGGTCACATACTGCGCAACCACCAGAGAGCGGAGTGTCTCCCTGTTGAGTGGCGGTCGTCCCTTAAGCTGGATGATGGTAATTTGTTCATTACCTCCGCGCAACGGAGTTGCAGGGAGGTAATGTAATCGCTCTCGTGTGTGTGTTCGTGTGTGTGTTCGTGTGTGTGTGTACCGTTGGCGCGATCGATTCAGCACCAGCTCGCCTTAGGGCGTCCAGTCAGCAGCAGCCAGCAGCGAGCCAGCTGTTATACACATGTACGCTCTCGGAGGTATGCACTCTCTTTGAGTGCCCTCTGTCTAGTTTAGAATGCTTGTAGAAAAATGCATATAAATTTTCAAATGAATACCCATCATGTTCTTTTGTGTGACCAATTTGTGACATGCACCATGCTCAGGAACAAACGTGAACAAAGCAGTGGTGTTTAGGAATGAATGCCTTAATGTAACTCAAGGGTAAATAACAATATAATAATATAAAATGGCATTATACCTTTATTGGCACGGTATTCCTCATAGAACTAATATTGCAATGGATGTATAATGCTACAGAGTAATATCATTATCGATGTAACCGGGTTAATTGTTACTCAGCCGTGAAGATTGGAAACGTACAGCTTACCTTTCGCCTCCATCCAGGAGGCTTTCTCAAAGCTAACTGATGATTATCAGTTTTGACCAGCAGATGGTGTAGTGGTCAATATCTTAGTCCACACGTGACTGAGCCTGTATCCCCGCTCGTCACGGTTGATGTTTGGGGTTTTGCAGATCCAGATGGTCTCCTTAATCCATCGCCTGATCTTGATTGGTTCGCGATCGATGATCTTCGAATTATCCCAATTGATAGTGTGATTGTCCTTCGCTACCTGGTCCATGATCGCGGATTTGGTTATTTCGGTAGCCGACTGCTTTCGTTGGGCCCTTGTGAGCGATTTGGGTGCTACGGTGTCTATGTCCTTTTTATGTTCTTTAAAGCATGTTTCAAATTTTCGGCCGGTTTCTCCAAGTAACTTTTTTCACACATTGCACACGGTTGTGCATAGCTGTTCTGTCCTTAGGGTGCACCAAAAGCCTTTTTAAGGTCTTAAACGGTTGATGCCACACCAAACGGGTGAGGCAACTGTTGATGCCACACCTGCATATTTTAGGTGACGTTGAACTACGTCCGTGACGCCTCTGACATAAGGTAGGACAATCATCGCCTTTGGTTTCTCAGTGGAGGTTTTCTCATGGGATGTTGTTTGTACCCGTGAAGTGTTCATCTCCTTGGACACTTTTCGAGTGTCCAATTGGGGTAGCCACATTTTCCTAGCGCGCGCTTCAGCTTCCTGGTCCTCACTCTCTGTTATGATCTTATCTTATCCCTACGATCAAATAGCGTCCGTACCACTGACAGTTTGGCTCAAGGGGTCGTTGTCGTAACAGGTACTACAGATATGTACCTGAGGTACATATATGTATGCACAAAGTGTACCAGACTTGTACTACAGAAGTGTACCCTAACCCTAA